AAAGGCAGCCTCGAAAGCGCCACGTGGGCGCTCACCTTCGCTCGGCTCGGCTCGGCTCGGCCCGGCTCGGCGCGTCACAAACATTATCCACGTGAGAAAATTTCACGGTATTTCGGTGTACGCCGCGCGTTACTAATCGCGCGTAGGTTTTAATTGGGCTGTGTATATGCGCTGTGCTTGCTCCACGCGTGTCACGTAGGTGAAACGGCACCTATCCTTCGGTTCTCTTTGTTCTCTATTCGAACGGTTTATCTTTCGCGATCATCGATTTTTTTTACGAAATCTTTGGCGAAAAATATTCGATCACTTTTTAATGCAAGATCAATATATTTGGAGTTTTAACTTACTGCTTATATGCTATAGTTTGAATATTTTGTGCTTTTTTGTATATCGCGCGCATTTTGTAGGTTGATTATTAATTTTTTGTTCGTTAAATTATAATATACACGTGTTGTTTTTTAATAAAAAATTTTATTTATGAATGAAATCCTTATGTTTAAGAAACTTTAAGGGGATATTTTGAAATGAAAATAATCTTAACGAGACGAAAGATCGTTGTTTCACAGACGATCTAAGATTTAAAATTATAAAATTGAATCAATTAATTTGATTTCTTTTTTTAAATTTTAGAGGAATTAATTTATCAAACGACATTTAAAAATTTATGAAAAAATTCGAAAACTCTGTAATCTCTTGAAAATTTGATACAAAAATCCATGAATTTGAAAAGAAATGATCGAATATTTTCCGCCAGGGGTTGCATAACCCGTTTATCGCCCCGTATATCGATCAGGAAACGAAAGTGGACAGGGTTCGCTCATCAACCCTGTCTTAGCCGTGTTCCTCTCCAGCTCTACAAACCTAGATTCCCGCAAGAGTTGGCGTGAATATCGAGTGGATTAAAAAGCGAAGCCAAACCAGTCCTCCCTGTCTGTCGTGAAACTTTTCTCGGTTCTGTGCTCGAACGCCGCGAAATCGGCATATAAACGGCCTTCGACCAGGGGGAGAGGAATTCTCAAACGAATCGAGGAGTGAAATTTTACCGCCTTTCACCGTTTGCATGCCTTTTCGATCGAACCTGACATCGCTGTCTCTCACTCTGCCCCCCCCCCCTCCCACTGTCCCCACGGTTTACGTCTTATAACCACGATTCGATCCTCCCGTTTGTCCACGGGAAGGTCTCGCATTTTTGCGACGTTTTTGCAGCGGATGCGTCACAGCGTCAGTGGCACGCGTTCTAACGTCACGATCGCAAAAAGTGGCCCGGATACATGGGATTCTCGTGCGAACGGAACAGAAACAGCGTTGGGACGAAACGTGTAACGTTTGATACCGGACTATTTTTGGAATCGTTTGCTTGTTCTCCTGCTTTGATCGAACATCCTGTTTGACGAGCAAACATTATTTCTTAAATTATATTTTTATAATTCCTCTTTGTTTGCTTGCTCATCCAGGAAAGAATCATTGATATTATCCATTATATTGATAAATAATAAAATTTTAGATATTCAATGCCATTTTTCAAACCGATTCTGCATCGATTGCTCACGAAATTATCGAGCTTTCATTTCTAAACTGTGTTCAAATAAAATCAAATATCGATGCTTCCTCTTGCAAGTCAGCACTTAGTTACAATACACTTCTGATTAAGCTAAATTATCGAGATGCTCTCTTTTTAAAAACTAGTGTTACACGATTTTTAATTGGACGCAGCTCTGGTTTGGGTAAAAAAAATAATTAAATACTCGATTTGATAGTTCATTGTGTACGATTCTTCTCCCTTATTTGGGAGAAGATTCTTGGATTTTTTGGGAGGGAAGGGAGCGGTGGAAGGAAGGTGGTCGCGATTCGAAGCTAAATTTAAAGATCGAAAGGTTTGGACGACGGTCTCTCTACCTCGGCTCGCTTCCAGATTCGTCGATCGCCGGGCGAATGCACGAGTATACAAATATATCGCAGGCGGTGTGCACATACGCGTTCCCTCGACTGCGACAGCCGTGCATTCCTGAAGAGTGAGCGTTGTATTATCAGTGGCGCCGTTGCTCTTTCGATGCTCTCAGGATAATACTGAGAAATACTGTAGACGAAAAAACGCGGTTTTCGCGGTTTTATCGAGCCGCCTCTCAGAAACCCCCGTTTCCGTTCTCCATTAACTTTCCTCTCTTCCACGATCCCCTTCTTACGAACATCGTATACCGTTATTAGCGATGCGATCAATTTTAATATACTTGTAATACTCCAATTTTTGTTTCATAGAAGAATATTAATGGAATGAGAAATGATAATTCGATTCTTGTAAATTTGTTGAATATTAGAAATTACAATGTATTACAAGTAGTAATATTTATTTTAATATTTTATTTATTTATTTTTTATATTTTTTATATTTTAATATTTATTTATTTAATATTTATTTTCGTTTTTCTATTCGTAACTATTGACAAATAATAATTGGCTCGCGATATAATTAAATTAAGAGGAATAATATGATTTTAGTAAGTCAGATCCTCGTTTCTTTAAAAAAACTAGTTGGAAGGATTCGAAATTGTGTCACGTATCGTATTAAAATTCATTAAAAAGTATCGTTTTTTTAAAGAAATAATAATATAATCGAT